CTTTTCCCCTTTCCTATAGCTCTCCCTTCCTGTTTATGTTTTGTTATGTAAAAATTGTTTTATATATATATTTATTGTACCATTTTATGTTGTTAGCCACCTAGAGTGGTCCTGATCCGACCAGATAGGCAGGATATTAAATAAATAAATAAATAAATAAATAAATAAATAAATTAATTAATTAATTACTTAATTAACGGCTATAAATACTCAACTCCCAAACAAACTGCACCAGAGCACAGAGTGCTACTCCTGTCCTCTGAAGATGCCGGCCACAGAGACTGGCAAAACGTTAGGAAGAACAACCTTCAGAACACGGCCAAAGAGCCCGAAAAACCCACAACAACAAAAAATGGCTTTCAGTTGAAGAAATATGATATATCCTGAGTAGATGGGTTATCAGTGGAGCTACAGTATGTCAACCTACAAAAAAAAATGAACCTACCAGAAACCTAACAAGACAAGTGTGGTGGACTGTGGCTTTCAGTTGAAGAAATATGATATATCCTGAGTAGATGGGTTATCAGTGGAGCTACAGTATGTCAACCTACAAAAAAAAATGAACCTACCAGAAACCTAACAAGACAAGTGTGGTGGACTGTCCAAGTCACGCCTGTCCATCATATGGAGCCCTAGGGCAGGAGCCTATGGCAGGACAGGAGGGCAGAGTCAAGAGAACTGTTGGAGACTGAGGAGTGTTAGAGAGAGGAGTTTTTGAAGTGTTAAGACAGAGTTTGGAAAGTTGGTGTGTATTAGAGAATAGATAAGAGATATAGATAGACAGTCATAAGATATTGTTACAGTGGTTAATGTGAATGAATACAAACAAGCAAACGTGTAAACCTATCCAAGTTTGATTGAACAATAAAAGAACATCTATGACTTTTCTTCTGTGATTCACCAATCAAACAATAAATGTACCTGTTATATTTGGCAGCCTGGATCTAAGAAACATATTTGGTACAGTGTGGATAAAGATCCACAGGTGGCAGCATGTAAAGGGAGAAAATAGCACATCGTGTCCAAAGGTGGACCTGTGTTTGAGGGAAAACAAACAGGGGACACTGGGGAAACGCAACAACAAGGGACAGAAATGTCAACTTCTGCCTTCGTTTTTCTACTAGAGTTCTGATGGATTCAGTTATTCACTTACAGAACATACTTGGCTAAAGATTCATTGTATGGATTTTTGGTGGAAAACCACGCATCCTTAGTTTTGGGGGGGATGAACAAGTGTGGACAATATTTGTGATCTATGCTGTCATGAAACATAGATACAGTAAGTTATTTATTAAAATGAAGTTCATTCTGTAACTTGTTAGGACCCGTTCCCCCCCCCCCCTTGAGGAAATGCAT